AAACCGCAAAACATTTTTTTGCAAAGATGAGCTTTTTAGATTGATGAAGCATTTTAACTTTCGCTTTCGTTTGTTTCCTACGCGATGAAGATGTTAGCTCGGTAACTAAATGCGAAGCTTGTTTATTCCCGACACAAATATCGAAGTGTAATATATGATACGTTGAAGCAAAGTTATGTACTAGATGATTTTATGTTGTCTACTTTCCTTGTTAGTGCATGTTGAATTTGAAATAGCATGAAGGGAAAGTTGTGCTCTTGTAAATTTTGTACTAAGTGAATGATGTTCACTCAAGTGACTTGAGGACTCTTTAGACTTTTCTGAGAACTGGACTTGTTCACGCTCAACTGTGCATGTTTACTACCTGGTATATTTTTACTCCCCTAATTTCAGCCTTATACCGCTCAGTTTTAAATTTGCATTTGCAAGTTGACATTTTGAACTGTAAAGAAAACCTTCTTTGTTTATTGTTATAGGCCTCTGCTCACACTCGGCTGCGCATATCTTTGTTTTCCTGTGACCATACAGCTCACTCACTTGCGCGACCCCAGGGCTCTAAGTTCCGAGTTGGGCCCTTTTCTAAATTTAAGTTCTTATTAGCTCCTTGATGGACTAATTTTACAAAAAGTTACTATGAATAGGAGAAAAAAAATTCCTTACACCGCCGACCCTGTAATCTGAAGAGAATTCCTCCTAGAGGTAAGAGATCATCAATCTTGAGTGGAGAATGGGCATCGATATAATACCTCATAAGGCCTAGTCAACACCGGAATTCCTTCTATCTTTCAAAAATGTCATTTATTAGCTGACTTCAAATTCTCTTATCCACTTCTTTTAAGGGAGACATCAACACCGACCTAGAAGAATACAGCACTAATATTTCCTGAATGCCGGGATATACGTTGTCTATGAACGGCACAGTTGATTCACGCTATTTGTGTTTACGGTGCAAAAACATCCTCAAAGATCCAGTCCAGACGGGTTGTGGCCATGTTTACTGCATCTCCTGCATTCCTCACCTCAAGAGGTAACAGAATCACTGATCATAATCTCAATAAATTTCGAAAAACAAGCCTAAACAAAGCTTTGTTATAGGAGCTCTGCAATGTAAAATAATCTCAAGGGTTCATACACCTTTTGCAGAGGTGTGTAGTAAATATATGAAGGTTTTGGTTGGCCGAGATAGCGAGGAATCTAATGCACTCTAGTGAAATATTTTGCTCACGTAAAAAAACAATAGAATTGCCTACATTAGCCTCATCAGTAAAGCATCCAAATTTCAACGTTACGAATTTTTCAATTGACAGGGATGATGGGACTTATATCTGTCTTGTTGACAAGGCACCCTTCGCAGCAGACCAGGTAAATTTGTAAGGACACATTCTTAACATGAAAAGGTATTGTTGGTGTTAAAAGATCCAATATTAATCAAGTCGAAGACCTGCTTTGATAACTTTTTTAACGAAAACGTTTCTTTAATTTGTATGCAGATATTCCACGACAACTTTATGAAGCGCGAAGTTCTTTCCCTCGTAGTCACGTGCCCTAATTCACCGGATGGCTGCAAGTGGAAAGGAGAAGTAAGACATATTGAGGTAAGTCAAAGTAAGAAAAGCCAAAGAACCAATCAGAATACAAATCGCAAGTAGGATTTATCATCTGGAAGGGGAAAGGAGAAAGTCTAAATTTCATTGGCTGTGAAGGGGGCGGGGGGCAATTCTTTGGGAAAAATAAATTGACAATCGCGATCGAAATTGCTATCTTTTTTACCTGTAAATAATAAATCTTCATATTCCCTACTAATCTCCTCTCGAATCCTAGTCTGTTGTTCTTCGATGTGTTCTGCCGGAAAAAAGTTAACTTTTCCTTTTCCCAACAATGCGCACCGGTAGGTAAAGAGAATAATAGTACAGAGTTGTCTTACTTGTACAAAGTGTATTCTTAAGCTTAGGACTGCTGCTAAACTATATCACGCGAGGAAAAAGTCAAACAGCACACAAAGAGCAACGCATGATAGAGGCGCTATAAATTTCTTTTCCGTCTTCTGTAGAAACACCAGTCTACCTGCCCTGAGGAAAAAGAAAAATGCTCCAACCATAACTGTCAAAAACTTGTGAAAAGATCCGATCTTCAGCGACATCAGGAACACGAGTGTCCGTATCGCACCCAACAGTGCTCGTTGTGCGGTGATTCTATGACTGCTGCTGTTCTTAAGGTCAGTTTGATCACCCTTTTAAAGCTACTTTTACCGCAATGACACTTCTAATTCAGGCGCTTTTTAAATCATATGACCAGTGTAGTTTAGTTTGTTTCAAGGACAACACTATAATGCCTTGCTTTTCATATAGGCGTATGATTAAAATTAACTCTACACCATTTGTAATAAGTGACAACAAATGGCCAACTCCTTTTAACATGTCCAGAGCGCCTTTTTCCTTTATCATCGGTTTTCCGCGTACACTTGCATTCATACGTACCTTTGTTGAATCATCTTCAAAACAAATGAATTCTCATTAAGAACTTAACAGAAATTATGACAAAAATGGTTTCGATCCTCGTTCTTGTTTGTTATTCACTTCTGTTTGTCTCGATTCCAAATTTTAGACTCATCAAATACAGGATTGCAAAATGTATCCCATTCAATGTCGCGGATGTGGCAAAGAAGGAATTCCGCGAGGAGAGGTAGCCATATTTAAAACGTCATCTATTTGCAAACACACTTCTCCTGGTGGACAGCCGAAACAGTTCAACTAAATCCGAGTTTTACTTTAAGAGATTCATCTCAAAGTTAAGGGAGAAGTTTTGCCATATTCTTGTGAAGTGCTACATTTGCATCAGTATGTGTCATTTTTGCTGTTGATCTATTTCATTTTTGTAGTGCACCAAAATCTGCAGAATTAGATCATGCAACTTAAAAGTGTCCACCTTTCCTTTAAAACAAACAATAAACCAAATATTACACTGCTCTTCTAAGACACGGGAATTTAGAGAAACCCTTCTGAGTTGTTGACCTGGGCTTACAACTAAGATTTTTACCTTCCTTTAATTTCAATCCTCACAGATGGATAGCCATGTTAATCCCATTCATGGTGACTGTGAGGCAGTCGAGAGGACCTGTGCATTTCAACAGATTGGTTGCAGCAACAACAAGGTTCGTATCATAATGAAGATTTTACCTAATTGCCTTTTTAAACTACCGAAATAAAAAGAGAATAGTACATGGCGCGCGTAGATATGGAATTTCGAGTGAGATGTCGAGTGAACCACGAGAAGAGAAATTCCATATCCCTACCGACAGAAGAAGTCTTTCAGGTAAACGGCCAAAATTGGCCAGTGGCAAATCTTCCAGTTGTCGATTTTCATTCTCAGCGGTCAGAAATGCTAACACCAAAGCCACTGAATACGCAACTTTCGGTTTTCCTTTTACTACATTGATTTTCTTCCCCTTCTAGGAAAGTTTGAATATCATTGTCTATCAGCGATACGGGTTTTTTAGTGTCTTAGCCGCCATTATTCGAGAAAGCTCCTACAAACACCTTGTAATGAGAATCGTGAAGGCTTTGCCGTTCATTCATCAACCTGGCCGAGTGGCGACAAAGGCGAGTGACATGTGAGCAGCTGATTGGCTATATCAACACACGTGAAAAAATACGACATTTTTTCACGTGTTGTTACGGCTTTTCTCAGGGCCGGAAATTCCTGTATAACACCGCGGTTTATAAGTGGTAAAATTTATCCTTCGTATGGGCCACCTGCCGAAGTGATAATAAAGTTTCCCATTATTTCACTATTCGAAACACTGGCGTATTGACTGAAGTCCCCTTCAAAGCCGTTTTGTTGAGAATTCTAACATCTTCAAAAACGGCTGCAAAATATACTCAACTGGGGACACTAAATCTACGAAAAAATGCAATAAAAGCATCTAAAAAGGCAAAAACGATTTGTCAAGTAGAAATTTCGTTTACACAAACCAACTACCAAATAATCAGGGATGATTTTCTTAAACCCCTGTACTAACAGAAAATGAAGCAATCCGAGGTCAAGAAACATGATGAGCTGAGTGCAATTTTGCACATAAATCTACTTTTGACGAGTGTTCTTCGGCTGGAGGAGCAAGTTAAAAGTCAGCTCTCTATGGGTGGTGCATGGGGTGGTGGCACCTCCGATCAGTGGATGAGACGATCGGAGATGACCATCGCTAACGCCATATCAAGCATCGACACAGTGGTACGCGAGCAAACCGATTTACGACAGAAACTAGAAGATAATTCTATGAGACTTGTGTCGATGGAAAAAAGAGTTTCAACCCATAGAGACCAGTTCCCACAATCGGCAACTTTCTCTTCGTTACACCCACTCCCCATTTCGGACGAGATTTCTCGACGTCTCACAAATGCCGAAAATGGCACCAATAACATCGAGTTCTTGGTAAACGAAACAAGGCGTGAGTTGAACGAAGTGAGACAAGAAGTATCGTCTGTTAAACGCCAATTGGATTGCGCAGTGGACAGTATTAGACGACTCGAACGAAGAATGGAGTCTGTGGAACACAATTTGGCGCTCAGAAATGTTGTTTTGTCGGATATCGAAGAACATGTTCAAAAGCAGCAAGTTTCTACATATAATGGGATCTTACTCTGGAAAATATCGGATTTTG